CCAGAGCAGTTAGGCAAGAAAATGAAATAAAAGACATATAGATTGTACAGAAATAAGTAAAACTAGCTCTATGTGCAGATGATACGATCTTGTATATAGAAAATCTTTAAGAATCCACTAAACTTTAGAACTAATTAATTCAGCAAGGTTGGAGGATACAAGAGCAATATACAAAAATGAATTTATTTCTATACAGTAGCAATAAACTAACTGAAAACGAAATGAAGAAGTTCAATTTACAATAACATCAAAAAGAATAAATTACTTAGGAATAAATTTAACAAAAGAAGTGTAAAACGTATACTGTGGAACTACAAAACACTGTTAAAAGAAATTACAGAAGTCCTAAAGAAATGAAAAGACAGCCTATGTTTGTGGATTGGAAAATTTAAGCATTTTTGTTAAGATGGTATGCTCCCCAAATTAATTTGCAGATTCAATGTTATCCCTATCAAAATCTCAGTTGCTTTTTTTGCAAGCTCATTTTGCAAGAAATTGACAAGCTCATTCTAAAATTCACATAATGAGTTCCCTGGTGGCCTAGTGGTTAGGATTCCGGGCTTTCACTGCCATGGTGCGGGTTCAATCCCTGGTTGGGGAACTGAGATCCAGCAAGCCGTGAGGTGAGGCAAAAAAAAAAAAAAAATTCACATAAAAATGCAAAAGACCCAGAAGAGGCAAAACAATCCTGACAGAGAAGAACAAAGCTGGAGGACTCACACTTCTGATTTCAAAACTTACTACAAAGCTGTGGTAATCAAGGCTCTGTGGTAGTAGCATAAGGATAGACGTAGAAATCCATAGAATAGAACAGGGTCCACAAATAAACCCCACCTTTACGTCAATTAGTATTTGACAAGGGTGCCAAGGCAATTCCATGGGTAAAGAATAGTTTAGCAAATGGCACTAGGTCAACTGGATATACACACGCAAAAGAATAAAGTTAGACCACAGCCTCAAACCAGATAAAAAAATTAACTCATAATGGATCAAAGACCTAAAAATATGAGTTAAAACTATAAAACTCTTGAAAGAAAACATAGGTATAAATATCTTCATGACCTCAGATTAGGCAATGGTTTCTTAGATACGACATCAAAGCACAAGCAATGTAAGATAAAACAGATAAACTGGACATCATCAAAATTTGGAACTTATGCTTCAAAGGACACCATTAAGTGAAAAAAATGCACAGAATGGGAAAAAGTTTTGCCAATATATAAAGAGCTCCTACAACTTATTAACAAAAATACAACCTAATTAAAGAATGAGCAAAGGAGACGCATAGACATTTCTCCAAAGGAGATATGTAAATAACCAATAAGCACATGAAAAGATGCTCAAAATCATTAGTTACCAGGGAAATGCAAGTCAAAATCACAATAAGATACCACTGAATAGCTATTTGTTTGTTATAATTAAAAAGACAGGTAGGGGCTTCCCTGGTGGCGCAGTGGTTGAGAATCTGCCTGCCAATGCAGGCGAGATGGGTTCGAGCCCTGGTCTGGGAAGATCCCACAAGCTGCGGAGCAACTGGGCCCGTGAGCCACAACTACTGAGCCTGCACATCTGGAGCCTGTGCTCCGCAACAAGAGAGGCCGTGACGGTGAGAGGCCCGCGCACCGCGAGGAAGAGTGGCCCCCGCTCGCCGCAACTGGAAAAAGCCCTCACACAGAAACAAAGACCCAACATAGCCAAAAATAAATTAATTAATTATTTTTTTAAAAAAGGTATGTTCAAAAAAAGAAAAAGACAGGTAACACCAAGTGGTGTCAAGGATGTGCAGAAGAAACTGGAACTCTTACACACTGCTGGTGGGAATGTAAAATGGTGCAGCCACTTCGGAAAACAGCCTTGGCGAGATCCTCAGATGGTTAAAAATAAAGTTACCATATGACTGATATTTCCACTCCTAGGTATGTATCCAAGAAAATCAAAAACATAGGCAATTGATGATACCTGCTATAGCATAGATAAAATCTTGAAAATGTAAGTGAAAGAAGCCAGTCATGAAAGACCAGATTGTAAGGATTCCACATTTTTTGTTTTTATCTTTCAAGAATTTGTCAAATTTATTAACATACGGTTTTCATAATATTCTCTTCTTATTCCTTTCTAACAGCATAATACAACAGAATTTGCATATTATAAAATTCATCCATTTTAAGGATACAATTCAATGATTTTTAATATATTCACAGACATGTGCAACCATCATCCTAGTCAATGTTAGAACATTTTCATCACCTCAGAAAGAAACTTGGTAGGATTCCATGTATATGAAATGTCCAGAAGAGGCAGATCTATACAGACAGAGTAGGTCAGCGGTTGTTGCCTAAGGTGAGAACGTCGGGGGAAATGGGAAGTGACTGCTAATGGGTACGAGGTTTCTTGTCAGGGCGATGATGATGCTCTAAAACTGACTGTGGCGATGGCTGCAGCTGTGAGTACAGCAAAAATAATTGAACTGTACACTTTAAATGGATAAATCATACAGTATGTGAATTATATCTCAAAACGGTTATTATTTTTTTAGTTGTTTTCTCTTTTCTGGTTTTTTTTTTTTTTTTGGCCGTGCCATGCGGCTCACAGGATCTTAGTTCCCCGACCAGAGATTGAACCCGTGCATCCTCGGCAGTGAAAGCATAGAGTGCTAACCACTGGACCGCCAGGGAATTCCATAAAGTGCAATCTCTCTCTTTCATCACCCTCATGCACCATATTCTCAAGAGAAGAAAATTAGGTTACAAAACAGTTTGTAGATTCTCATCCAAATTTTCTAAAGGAAAATAGTGCGCAGAAAACAAAACCACAATATATCACAGTTGTTTCTTATGTAAATCTTATAAAGGCTGATTCATTTTTCTAACTTCCTAACATAAATACATACCACTACTTTATTAAATGAAAAACGATATATATTACTTGACAAAATGATAAAAGACTTATAAACCGAGACCCTTCTCTTCACTTTCTTGTCCATTCCTGTTAATGCACCCTGCCCCTAACAATGTTCTGGGATTATTAAAATAGACTAGATAGGAGATAAGCAGATACATAGATACATACATACAAAACAAACAAGACAATGTGATTTGAAAGTAACAATAGTAAAGGACAATTTCTGGGTGGATACACAAAAATAATTTTAATTGAAGTTGTCCATTAGTAGTAGGCAGGAGGAACTGGAGAAAGGTAAGTGGGTGAGGGGGTGGGAAAGCTCTTATTTGTATTATACTCTTCTCTGTGTTAGTTTAGAAAAAATATATATTCCTGTATTATTATTTTTTGTTTTGTTTTGTTTTGTTTTGTTTTGCGGTACGCGGGCCTCTCACTGTTGTGGGCTCTCCCGTTGCGGAGCACAGGCTCCGGACGCGCAGGCTCAGCGGCCATGGCTCACGGGCCCAGCCGCTCCGCGGCATGCGGGATCTTCCCGGACCGGGGCACGAACCCGTGTCCCCTGCATCGGCAGGCGGACTCTCAACCACTGCGCCACCAGGGAAGCCCTCCTGTATTATTTTTTAATTACAAATATTTTACCACATACATTATGATTTACTGGCTCATGAATTATTTACAGAAGAGTTGGATAATTTTTTAAACACACAGGAGGGATGGACTGCCTGTGTTTTCGTCATTGCTTTCCAATTTTACTTCATTATAATCAGACACCAAATGATCTGTATGACATTATCTCTACACAATTTGTTGAAAGTTGCTTTGTGGACTACTGGGTCACACACTTTTATTAATGTTCCAAGTGTGCTTGAAAAAAATGAATAATCTTTAGCAGTTAAGTGCAGAACTCCATACACATCCATTAGACCATTCTTGCCATTGTGTTGCTCAAATCTTCTATGGTCTTAACAAGTTACCTGCCTGGTCCTAAGACTTTTACGGATAGATGTGAATAACTCCAATGAAGACAGTAATTGTATTCATTTTTCATTATAATTCTAGCAACATTTTGCTTTATATCTTGAGACTATGCTATTTAGTTCAGGTTTACTACATCTCCCAGGAGAATTGTTCCTCATATCATTATACAGTGGTCTCCTTGATTTTGCTTTCAGTCTTTTTTTTTTTCTTGATCTGATATTAACATTACTATCAGCTCTCTTTCAGCTACTCTTTCTGAATCAGTTAGGGTTGATCAGAGAAGTAGAACCACTAAGAATGGTAAGAATAAGAAGCTATTACAGGGATATAAACAGTAATTGTGGGAGCTGGTTAAACAACTTATGTAGAACTGTTGCTTCTGCGTCTAGTGTTGGGACAGAAACTTAGAAGGCATGCAATCAGGAAGGAAACATGGATGTGAAATGGGGAAGAGCAAGGACAAACTGGAATTCGCATTCTCCCTCACCAACCTCAATGATGTGGGTGACCTACAACATAAATTGGCACCCTTCACGACAGAGCCCACACAACTGACTCAAAATTTAGAGAAGCTGAAGGAGAAGACTCAGTGAGAGTTGGAGGAGCTGGAGGCTTGACTGCTGCCTGAAGCCAACAGATCAGTGATGAGATGTATGAACTGCAGCAGTGCCTGACCTCCCACCAACCTTCTGAGCATGAATACAACCACTGCTTTACTTCCACCTTACAAATCTTGAGCAATTTTCTCTTGTAGCCAGGCTAACCTGGAACCCTCCTGGAAAAGATGTTCTAGGAAATAGACTTCCAGCTCAATTATGCTGACCCAACATGAAGCCGCCAAAATTTGCATGGATATTTTCCTTTACCTCTTTAATTTTATTCTTTCTGTATAATTATGTTTGAGGTGTGTCTCTTGTAAATAGCAGATAGCTGGATTTTTCTTTCATCCTATATAGACTTTCAACTATCATGTTTAATCCACTTACATTTATTGGGATTTATGACTTTCATAATTTAAAAAAGAATTGTCTTTTAAAAATGAAATGAAGTAATACCTGTACTGAAGATATCTGCATACTTTGCATTTCTGAAGTATTTTATACACATAACTTATTACCTACCACTTCTCCAGCAGAGGCAGCCAACATATGCTTCACAGGCATCAAATACGAAGATGAATCAGTGTGCAAAAACCATTTCACATATTCATAGGTGATGAAAAAGGCAGCAGCTGAAATTTAAAACAAACCAGTCTTTCACAAAGTTTAAATATATATGTAAACTGTTAAGAGATATGTTTCTTGAAAAAAATTACAACTCTAGTTATTAAATTATAACAGATAAAGATAATAATAAATATAAGTAATATAAATAAGTATAAATAATAAATATAAATAAATACTGAACTATAAATATATATTAATTATATAATATATACATATATTATACATGTATATATTACATATGTATATATTTATAACTGTAGATAAATATAAATAAAGATAAAGTAATAATATGTACTATTCCCCCCCAACCCCTTCACTCTTGCAGATTTGACTGAGCCCATGTTACATGTCTGACTTTGGACATAAAAACATGCAGATCCCTGCCCTGAGGAAGACTAACAGCTAACCTGGCATTTACCAGTTTGTACTGATAAGTCACTTTAACACTTCTTAGTTAAGTTTTTTGGAAAAGGATATGAATTTCTGTGATGCAAAACATCTTTATATATGGCCATAAAATAATCAGCTACACTGATTTCTAGACAGGTTAAAATTGCAAACACATATCTTAACCAAATAAAGCATCTATTCCATAATGTTGTGTTGCTGGTTACTCAAAATAACCATGGCTACTTTTTACTACATCAACTCACTTTTACATCAAGGAAACAATCAACTACTGTATTAAAACTGGAAATCAAAATCTCTAAAAACCTACCCCTAGGGCTTCCCTGGTGGCGCAGTGGTTGAGAGTCTGCCTGCCAATGTAGGGGACACGGGTTCGTGCCCCGGTCCAGGAAGATCCCACATGCCGCAGAGCGGCTGGGCCCATGAGCCATGGCCGCTGGGCCTGCGCGTCCGGAACCTGTCCTCCACAACGGGAGAGGCCACAACAGTGAGAGGCCCGTGTACCGCAAAAAAAAAGAAGCTACCCCTATCACCATGAACTAATCTTAGCTGCACAGGAAGGCTTTAAGCCTTGCCACGTATTGTTAATAAAAAGATGTTCATCACTCACGTAAAAGGTGAGGCACGAAAGATAAATAAATGGCAAATTCACCTTTCGAAAGGCATTTGAACATGTCACACAGTGAAGTCTGAAACACTCAGGAAAAGAGCTTGGTAGTGAAAATCAGTTCTCCACAGTTAAAGTCAACAAGCTTGTAAACACCCCAGTGGCTAACAAACAAACAGCAGGCCAAATGAGGAGGCACACTGTCCCCGGATGAGTAATGACCATGCAAGCAGTTGTATATAGTTAATGCAGGTCCCAATTCCCACCTGTGATTCTTATTTAGGCTGTTCCTACTTTGGCCTACTCACTAAATAGGCTAGAATATCTCCAGTCACATTCGGCTGTAAGTTCTACCTGCTACACGTTCCACCCACCCACCCCCACCCCCCAGGAGTGAAAACAAAACAAAAAACTATGGTTTTTCTACATTCCCTTCTAAACATGAAGGGTCTTGAATACAGGTCTTTTCCTCTCTTCTTTCGACCCTCAGTCCCTTCCATACCCCCTGCACAATATGTTCTCAAAAAAGTCTACAAGCCTCTGAATGTTACACTGGTGCACTGTACTCTGTCTAAAACCTTAACCAATAGCAAAAATTGTTTAAAGTGCCACGTAAAAAGTTTCAATTCACCAACAATTTGCAGAAAAACAGAAAGGCCATTTCTGAAACGCTGACACTCTGACTCTTTATCCAACATCTCCCATTCAAAGACGTTCTGTGGATGTCAAAAAAAGAAAAAGAAAAGCAGGGCAAGAAGAACACCACTTTCTCAAACATACAAAAATTCAAAACCACATTCTGTATGTAAAGTCCTGCTGACAAGAATCTAAACCAGCCCTGTGAGCTTAATGGAGCACCATGTACCCTGTAGACCATCACTAATACTTCATCTACCAACCATTCCTACGTAATACGTAAGAGAAAAAAGAATATTTACAGTGATGAGGGAGGCATCATAAGAATGGATGACCAAAAGACAGGGACTTAGTAACATATTTCTTTGCAATTCCCTAGTTCAGAGGTTCCCAAACTTGTCTACATATAAAAATTACCTGGGGATTTTTTTTTTTAAACCTCCAAAGCCCAGGCCACACCTCAGGCCAACTAAATCCCAAATCTCTGGGAGTGCGACAGCAGTACTTTCTTTTAAAAAAAAAAAAAAAAAAAAAAAAATCTCTTCAGGTGATCAGGTGATTGCAACACAGACAAATTTAGGAACCAAGGCGCATCTCCCACATATAGAGCTATACTTGGCATAGAGTGGGTCCTCAGTAGCGACTTGTTATGATCAATTACTGAAAATTAAGACATAAAATAATTCAAGGATAGCCTCAAAACAGTTGGCTGCTCTAAGGATGGCTCAGGAAGATAAACTAAAGGACCAAAAAGATTTGCTCTACAAATCTTTATGTGAATGTTATGCTCACAGATGGATATAGACAGACATCTTAATGTCAAGTTAACAAGAAAGAATTTCTAATGAAATATACTGAGAAAAAAGAAATCAAACTCCAGAATTTAAGAATCTTCTGGAGCAGGGGTTTTGTGAGTGTGTGAGTATGTGAGAGTGTGTGAGTGTATTGTGTATGTGTGTGTGTGTGTTTGATAGTGATGGTTTTCTGTTTGCTTAGTCTGCTTTTGAGTGCCAATCAAAGCATCAGTAAACAATTATTTAAATAAGTATCTGAAAAGAGGTGGATTAAATGAAACAGATTATACTGATTATAGAATAAAAGGGCCATAAATCACACAACTCCAAAACCAAAACAAAAGCAAGACAATGGAAAGAGGAGGTTAGTGGGAATGGGTTGCATCATCTGAGAGCAATTTAGTTAAGACAAAGATTTAATGCCTCTTAGGTTCATCTGCTCCACAAGAATCTCCAAGCCAGTGGTTATTAAACTCAGCTTCACATCTGAATCACCTGGGAAGTTACTAAAACTCCTGATACCCAGGCAAAGACCAGACCAATTAAACTTCTCATGGAGACACAGGCGTAAGTATTTTGTAAAGCTTCCCAAGAGATTCCAACGTGCAGGCAAGGTTGAGAACTGCTGTAAGACATTACAATCAATGTTACAGGAACACTTTAAGGATTCTAACAAGGAGTTTTAACAACAACAAAAACCACTCATTTAAAGATTGCTCATTTTTTTATTACAAATACACTAGAATGGAATCTATAGCACCAGCTGAGTCAAAAATAATGGATTAATGAATAGAAAATAAATTCAGGAGATCAACTACATCAATCATATAAGGAATTCTATATAGGATTGGACCACATACCATTCTGAAAATAAATCCCATTATCTTGGCTTTATATAAAGCAGTGATAATACCAATATAATTTTTACCATTAGGAAAGGATCCAATAGCAGCAGAAGGAACGCCAGCATATATTCCACGAAAACCACCAGCCTTATTAAATCCTTGGGGGCTCTGCAGCCTGGTTTTAATGGTATCCAGAGGAAATAATATCAAGTCAACACAGACACCTGCTACCCCACCAGCCTTTAAAAAAAAAGAAAAAGAAAAAAAAGGTTACAATAAAATAAATTGCCATTTGGGGGATGGGGTAGTTTTTAAAGCATATTTCTTTAAGTATGGTTTTAAAGTATACCACAGACTACTTTGGTACAGTCAAAACACCTCTTACCTAAATCTACAGACTGTCCTGGGAAAATAAGCATTACTGTGATATATTTTCAAGTTGTAAATTTTATATTACATATTCTGTTTTAAAAAAAAAGTTTAATGATTTTTAATAATTTTAAAATAAATTTCAAATTTATTTTTAATGATTTCATAGGGTTCAAAAAAGTAAACAAACAAACCTCAGAAAGGTAAAGAGTTCAAAGTCTCCTTCCCTGTCCCTAAAAACCCAAGCAACCAGTTTTGGTTTCTTATTGTGTCCTTCCCAAGTTACTTTAGGCATATACAAGCAAATATGAATATGTATTTTATTTTACCTTTTTTTTTTAAGTAAAAGGTGGTATGCTGCACCTTGTTTTTTTCATTTGACAATTTATCTCAGTGATCTTTCCAAATTACACCAAATGTTATATTTTTTGCCTTTTTAACTAATGAGTAGTGAATCTGCATTAAGAAAAAAATTGTTTTCAGACTTACATTCTAAATGGTAATGGTCCTTGTGAATCTAGATCCATATTTTAAGAATCACACATGTAAGGATTCCTATGGTATCCTCTCTACTTTGTGTATATTTGAAAATTCCTTGATACTTTTTAAGTGAATAAATGAACGGGGAAAAAAAAGAGCTAAATTCCTAGAGGACATTAAAAGCTGACCCAAACTAGTCATCTCCCAAGAGATACCATGTTGCTTTGGAGAAGCTGCACTTTAAAACCTGATTAAAAACTAAGTTTTCACCTCATGATTACACTAGTATATACAGAATATTTTAAAAACTGGTTACAGCTTAGTCAAAGCAAAAAGAGACTCAGAAAAATATGAACTCAGAGACTGTCAAAGAAAGGTCAACACACAAGGTCTAAAGGCATCATTTAAAGATATGAATCAATACCATTTCACAGTAAGCAGGTAGAACTACAGAGGCAACTCTCAATACAGTTCCTACATAGTAAGTTTTAAACTGAATTGCTAACTTTTCCTATCTTTTGGATTTTGAACCATGTGAATATATTACCTATTCAAAAAGTAAAAGCAGACATTAAAAACTATATATTCCATGACACAGAAAAAGAAGAATCAGTACTATTTAAACATACAGGCAGAGTTCAAAATGATACGCTGTTTCCATCCTTTGGGTTTACAGAATGCTCAAGTGGTACAAAGGTTAGTGCCTAGCAAACACTTTCTGCTCTACTTGCCACTCACCATAAAACCACTGCAAGGGGCTTCCCTGGTGGCGCAGTGGTTGGGGGGTCTGCCTGCCGATGCAGGGGGCACGGGTTCGTGCCCCGGTCCGGGAGGATCCCGCGTGCCGCGGAGCGGCTGGGCCCGTGGGCCATGGCCGCTGGACCTGCGCGTCCAGAGCCTGTGCTCCACGGCAGGAGGGGCCGCAATGATCAGCGGCCCGCATACAGCAAAAAAAAAAACACTGCAAAACTTCATTGGAAAAATGAAATTACCCTGATGAGAAATGCAATAATGTCTATTTTTCAATTAGTTAGTATAGGTAATTATTAAAAATTAGTGTACACTAGAAAAGTACATTACCATAGGGACTTCCCTGGTGGCGTAGTGGTTAAGACTCTGCCTGCCACTGCAGGGGACACGGGTTTGAGCCCTGGTCCAGGAAGATCCCACATGCCGCGGTGCAACTAAGCCCGTGTGCCACAACTACTGAGCCTGCGCTCTAGAGCCCACGAGCCACAATTACTGAAGCCCATATGCCACAACTACTGAGCCTGAGCTCTAGAGCCCACGAGCCACAACTACTGAAGCCCGTGTGCCACAACTACTGAGCCTGAGCTCTAGAGCCCACGAGCCACAACTACTGAAGCTCACTCACCTAGAGCCTGTGCTCCACAATAAGAGAAGCCACCGCAGTGAGAAGCCCACACAATGAAATGACGAGTAGCCCCCACTCGCCACAACTAGAGAAAAGCCCACGTGCAGCAATGAAGAACCAACGCAGCCAAAAATACATAAAATTTTTAAAAAAAGAAAAAGAAAGAGAAAAGTACATTACCATATACGTTAATACCATATGATCAGCCTGAAAGGCATGACAGAACCCCAAAGACCATGCGGGATACTCTGCAAATGACCTAAAAAGTTGTCACCAAAAGAACACAGAGATGTGCCAGTAGAGCACCACAAGTGGGAGTAAAAGAATGACAATGTGGGATTTCTTCCCAGATATAAAGGTGGCCTTTTCTAAGTCAAGGGAAAAAGTTCACAAGTAACGTAGCAAAGTTAAAAAGAAAAAAAAGCCAACTTTTTCAACACTCTTCTCACTTATTCTTTAAGGATTTTATAAAATTCAGTAGGTAATAAAATATTTTGCCTGCCTCTTCATTTTCTCAAAACGCAAGAACTAAAATCTTGGTGAGAATGACTGATATGACTGGTTTCTTTAAAAATAGCTGCGCTTCATTCTAATTTTCTCTTTAATCTTAGGAGTGGGTTCAGAGCGATGCTTGCTATCTACTGCTAAATTTTAATCAATAAGCGAATTACTCTTTTAATCTATTTAGCTACTTTGCATGCATTGATTCTCCAGCCCTCCTTTCATCAGAATTCTAATCATCTGAGAATAAAATGACCAGATTGAATCTATTTATCTAGTAAATCATGAATCAAGAGTTACTAATTGCTTCTGTGGATTTCAAACTTCTAAAACTCAAATGTCACTTAAATTCATGAGACTGAAAAAAATGCTGCTAAAAGAACATTAAGAATTACCTATGTATTTAGACACATAGCAACATATCTAAGATTTAAACAAAAACTTTAAGGAATGCTTATAATCTTTCATCAAGCCAGCATCAACTGAATTATAAGGGACTCTACTAATTTCTTTTTTTCTTTAGCCTGAGAAATTTGTTTTATCTATGATCACTTATCAAAAATGTTATCAGGCGGGAGTTCCCTGGCAGTCCAGCCATTAAGACTCCATGCTTCCACTGCAGGGGACATGGGTTCGATCCCTGGTCAAGGATATAAGATCTTGCATGCCATGCAGTGCGGCCAAAAAATCTTTAAAAATTAAAAAAAAATTTTAAAAAAAGGTTACCAGGCAAAGGGTTAGTTCCAAGATTTATGGTACCTTACACTGAAAATCCTAAGTGCTAGACAAAGTCCAAAGAAAGAGAACATAAACCAGATAACCAGCAAGCCTTACCATAGCATAACAATTTATTGAGACCTTGATATCATACAGATAAAATACACAGCACCACCTTAATTTAAAAATGGAAAAAGTGCTGGCAGGCTGTAGAGAGGAAGTGTATAATTAGTGAAATTAGACCCTTTGAAATTCCTCTGGGAGTTGAAAAAAAGTCAAGATTACATGAAGCTGGCAAAACAGAAAAAAACAAAGCAAAAACAAAAAAACTCACTCCTGCTCAACTACAGGACAAAATCAAACCATCCGTCTAATTTAACTAAGCAAAATCATCACAGGCCCCTGGCCTAGACCACAACTAAAAAGAACCAGGCAAAACATTAACATGGCTTCTCGGGGAAACATCCCTCCCTGACATTCTCAGTTTCCCCCACAACAAAGTGGCCACCAGTGACTTTAACCACCTCATTGGAGAGCTGTGGCTTCTGCTTCCTGTGATACTTGCCTTCTTCCCCCTCCACCATCCATTCTCCCCACAGCGCTCCTTCACCCTCTACACTAACATTGTCTGTGTAAAATACAAATTTCAATTTCATCTTGACACTCTTCAAAGTTTCCAAAAGCCCTTAGGATGAAGAACAAAATCACAGTACAGCCTACAAGGCTCTACAAGTTCTGTCCCCCATCTACCTCTCCACCCTTAACTCCATCGTTAGCCCTTTGCTGGGTACCTTCTTACCACCTTGATCTCTCTTTTCGTCCAAGTCATCTGATTTTCCTCATTCCTAGGACTGTGTCCCTAATCCCCCAGTCTAGGTTTACACCCTCATGTCTCCACACACTGATAAGAATTCTAATTCTGTAGTTGAGCATCTGACCATTTCTTCAAAGACTGTATGTTCCATGAAACTATAAGATCCATACCTGTTTTGTTCACCAGTATGTTCCCAGCACCCAGTACATAGTAGGCACTCAGTAACTATTTGAAAAACACATGAATTAATGACTATAACAAAAGGTTACTAACCATATCTTAGAAGGTACTACAAAGCAACCTAAAAAAGGTACATCAATTTTTTTAAAAATTGCAAAACACAGGACCAAACAATTCCCAAAAGAAAAAATATAAACAGCCAACAAAATTATGAAAATGTGCTTCCCCACCATCAGTGATCAAATAAAAACAAAATTTTAAATTTCCCAATTACATTATAAAAGATTAAAAATACGGAAATAGTTATGGGTGTTAACATAAACAAATTATTATAATCTATTGAAGGACAATTTGGCAAAATGAAAATTTTAAACTATAAAATACTTGATCCAGTTATTTTATTTTTAAACATTTCTTCCACAAAAATAAGTTCATAAATATACAAGAATGTTTACTACAGAATTCTTTCTAACAGTAAAAAACTAGAAATAACCTAATAAGTTGTATTATATCAGAATAACGATTGCTACACAGCCTTTAAAAGAATGAGATCAACCTGAACTTGCTGATACAGAAACATGTTATATTCTTAAATTAATCAAATAAGCTACAGAACAATATATGCTGTATAATCCCACCTTTCAAAGAAATGTGTTATTTTTTTGTCTATGCATAATCAGAAGTCTGGAACCACACACACCAAACTGTTAGAAGTTATTATCTCTGTGGAAAAACAGTCGAGATGAGGAGCATTTTTATTATTATCTTGTTGATTTTTGTACTGTTCAAGTTTTGCAATGAGTACTAAAAACATACAAAAGTAGAGCTCCTCAAATTAATATTCCCTCACCAAAAAAAAAACAACCACCACCACCCAAATTCACTGGTCACATTTGGTATACAGTAGGCACTCAGTAAGGGGTAACTCAGAACCTCGACCCCTGGACCCTAAACTACCTGTTCAGCTTCATCTGGCACACTCTTGATCTTGAGCCTCCTCCACTCTGACTAGTCTGTTTCCCAAAAACATCCTGAAACTTATCAATTCTGTGCTCCTGCTTAGGTTTTTCTCTCAGCCTGGAAGGCCCTTCCAAGCCTCTTGTCTTCTGTATACTACAGCCAGCAGACCACCTGCTCCCCCCGGCCATTACATACACACAAATACATACACATACACACACACAGACACCTGCCAAACTCCATTTCATTGTTAAGACTGTGACCAAACGCCATATCCCTCCTGAAGCCTTTCCCAGTCTCCCAGTCAGAATTAAAGGCTACTTCCTTAACTCCCCGGAATAACTTTGTTTACATTTCACTTTCAGTACTAACCACCGTGGCTGACACTAGATCCTTCAGAGTAGAAGCCAGGTCAGTGACCTTGGCCCTCCTAAATATATAACCCAGTGCCTGGGATGGAGCAGGGCTTCCACACTTGTTTGTTGTTCTGAATCACATGGAAATGTAAGATGATGAGAAAACACTTTACAGAAAGATTCAACATTCACAAGAAAAACTGCAGCAAATCACTCTCTGGTTGTCCCTGCTGCAGTCTGCCATAGCACTGTGACAAATGAAACCTGGCATTACCTGCTGCTATACTTCTTGGCATTCCACAGCTCCAGTGACAGCTTTGTGGTATATTCAGGGTGTCTTTTCCAGAAATCCTGTGCCTTTCATCACCTCCTGATGGAAAAGACTGCGCAGGATCAGTGTTGTTTGGTAAGGCTATTCTCAGGAACACAATAATGGTTCTAGAATTTGACTTGCGTATTCTTCCATTTCTCCAGAAATTCTTTCAGATTAAATATTGCCTTAGACTACAGCTTTGGCAACAGACACGCAGACCTGGCTTCAATCTCAACTGGGTCTCCCTAGGAAAGCTATTAAACCTAGGTAAGCCCACATTTCTTCATGCATGAAAGGGGAAAAATAATACTACCTATACTTCACAGAGTTTTTGAGAACTGAGTGAGATTAAATGAGAATTAAATACAACTACATGAGCCTGTTACATGCTTAGCAAAATGCCTGCCTCAATTACCAATAAGTATCAGTTATCATTTTTAGTGTTATGTTACTGTAAATATCCTTCCAAGTTTGCTGATGCCCTATTTCTGACAGGCCAATATTAAAAACCATGTGAAAGCCAAAGGAGGACTTGACCAACGACTGAAGATTACATTCATATATTAAACTGAACTATAAATGTATATACAAAATCGATAAATTCAAGTCTTTCCTTACCAATAATGAATGAAAAGCTTTCCTCAAATTCTGCTCCCTGGACAAGAATCACCCATGGATTCACACAACAGAAAACCAAATCACGCGACGTGTGCAGGAACGATTCAGCATCAAACTCAAAAAACTGAGAAACACTACTGTTCAAATTTCTTTATGATGCTTGGATGTGAATTTATGGGTTATTTTTTTTTTAACCAGAATACAAAAAAAAAAAAGAGAAGACAAAATTGTAAACGTATGATTTCTGCTCTGAAAAAACTGCATAAGAACACATTAAAGTGTTCAGTAAATGGTTACTTTTTATCACCATGCATAATTACATGGTTAATTTTTGTTTTATTTTCTGTTAAATGTCTGCTCCCACTTGACTGCACACCCCTGAGGGTAGGGACCATATCTTCCAGGCTCTTGCTCTTCCCAAGTACCAGAGCAAAGGCTCACACACATGTCTGGTTAAACAGGTAACAATACCTGATGCATGGAGGTGGAAAAACTGTGGGTACAACATTTATCTTCCCTCTATTTGGCATTTTGTTACTCAAATTCTGTGTGTACCATTAAAATTTTAATATTTAAAACTTATATCTGGGGCTTCCCCGTGCGCAGTGGTTGAGAGTCCGCCTGCTGATGCAGGGGACCCGGTTTCATGCCCTGGTCCGGGATGATCCCACATGCTGCGGAGCGGCTGGGCCCGTGAGCCATAGCCGCTGAGCCTGCGCATCCGGAGCCTGTGCTCTGCGAGAGGCCCGCATACCGCAAAAAAAAAAAAAAAATTATATCTGAACACACAGCATTTGGTTTGGAAGTGGTACAAAAGCATATTAAGTCATTTACAGCTAAATTTCAGATTCTAAAACTTTCCCAGGACCCCCTCTTATACTGAAAGGAAAGGTAGCTCCATCTCCTAGTACTTGAAATACAGAAGAAATGCCTCCATCACGGCAGTGGTTCTCGATTGTGGCCCCAGACAACTGGTGGTCTCCAAGGGTGCCTTGCATGCTCCACTGATGGATCAAAATTGAGAATATACCTCTGTCTAGGTGACTCCCTACTCAACACAAAAATGAGCAAAAAAAGGAAGACCTGCCCACTGTGACCTAAATGACAGAAAGAAACAAGTCACACAAAGCAAGCTCGAGAATGTACAGCATAATTCCCAATCCCTTAGAGATATGGAGTCAATGCTTCATCATTAGATACTAACTGCCTTGACTCCAGAAAGCAGACTAGGAAGCTGCCTTCCAGAAAAGAAACGGATGAGGCAATAAACACTGAAAACGTCCCTTCAACTTCATTCTTCTCTTTTCTTCTGTTTTCTTACCCCACCTAAGAAGCCTAGGCAACATAATCCATGCCACTGCCCTCAAGTCCCTTTCTGCCAGTGGTTCTCAGCAGAAGGGCAGGTCCAGTGAGAAGACACAAATATTATGAAGAAGCTTTTTCAGAACCACCTCCCTAAAGTAAGAAAAGAAAACAACAAAATAACAATTAAAAAAAAAAAACAGTACAAGCAGTCCTTGCTTTGCACAGCACCGACACGCATGCATCTCAGTTGCCATAAGGAACACAAGTCCTCTAACAGGACACTTGAATTACAGTGACCACAGTGACATTTCACAAAAATGAATAATTGAAAGAGGGAACTGGCCAACAAACATGAAAGCAGGGCAAATAAATGACAAGTGGTTAACACTGAAAGTTACATTCAAATCAAATGTAAAAGGAGTTACAAAAGAATTAGCTGTGGGAATATCGACACTGCTGTCATTGGACAGATTCCAGACATGCAGCCAGAGGAAAATGAGTGAAGGCGAACTTACCACATACGGGGAAAGAGGCTGGGACGAAAAGGACAAAGATGTCCCAGAGCAAGCTGTGCCAGCAAAAACCTCCACGTTAAAGGAACACTTGTTCTGTACTGCAAGTTATATGACTTAAAATTACTTCTGATACTTTTTTTTTTAACAAAGAAATACAATCTTAATGTTTTAAATTACACTGTACTAAATGTAAGCTTTACTTCTTTTTTTTCTGTTTCCCTATACTTCACAATCTACAGTAAGAGAGTTATTAACATTGACAAGAATTTTTAAAGGTCGTTAAATAATCGTTTTCATCAATTATTAAAATCACTTTGCATGACGTCCACTCGCACATTCATCTTTCCAGCCCCAAATTACACGCAAAGGACTGCCTGCACTTCACACTGCAGAGCACCAACACTTGCCGAGGTTCCTTCACCTGTAACCCAGTTAAAAGTAACTGAGACAATACCCTGAGAAAACCATAATTCAAAAAGAGTCATGTACCAAAATGTTCACTGCAGCTCTATTTACAATAGCCCAGAGATGGAAACAACCTGAGTGTCCATCATCGGATGAATGGATAAAGAAGATGTGGCACATACATACAATGGAATATTACTCAGCCACAGAAAGAAACGAAACTGAGCTATTTGTAATGAGGTGGATAGACCTAGAGTCTGTCATACAGAGTGAAGTAAGTCAGAAAGAGAAAGACAAATACCGTATGCTAACACATATATATGGAATTTAAGAAAAAAAATGTCATGAAAAACGTAGGGGTAAGACAGGAATTAAAGACACAGACCTACTAGAGAATGGACTTGAGGATATGGGGAGCGGGAAGGGTAAGCTGTGACAAAGCGAGAGAGGCATGGACATATATACACTACCAAACGTAAGGTAGGTAGCTAGTGGGAAGCAGCCGCATAGCACAGGGAGATCAGCTCGGTGCTTTGTGACCGCCTGGAGGGGTGGGATAGGGAGGGTGGGAGGGAGGGAGACGCAAGAGGGAAGAGATATGGGAACATATGTATATGTATAACTGATTCACTTTGTTATGAAGCAGAAACTAACACACCACTGTAAAGCAATTATACTCCAATAAAGATGTAAAATAAATAAAAAAATTTTTTAAATTTAAAAAAATAAAGTAACTGAGACACGGATGCTTTCGGTTTCACTCAAGTAACAACCCAGATGAACTACAAGGTCGATGAAACAGCTAAGTACTGAAAGGGAGAGAAGAGTCAGGCTGGAAGGAAAGAGTGGTTTGGAAGTATGTTTGTTTGTTTTGCATTGAAAAAAGTAGAAGAGGGCTTCCCTGGTGGCGCAGTGGTTGAGAGTCCGCCTGATGATGCAGGGGACACAGGTTCGTGCCCCGGTCTGGGAGGATCCCACGTGCCGCGGAGCGGCTGGGCCCGTGAGCCATGACCGCTGAGTCTGCGCGTCCGGAGCTTGTTCTCCGCAACGGGAGAGGCCACAACAGTGAGAGGCCCGCGTACCGCAAAAAAAAAAAAAAAAAGAATTCCAGAAAGTTCCAAAAAGCAAAACTTCAATTTGCTGCATGCAGGCAACTATTTTCATAACATTTATATTGTATTTACAACTATTTACACAGTATTTACCTTGTATTAGGTATGATAAGTAATCTAGAAATGATTTAAAGTATACAGGAGGATGTGCATAGGTTACATGCAAATACTACATCATTTTATATAAGGGACTTGAGCATCTGTGGATTTTGGTATCCACAGCGGACCTGGAACCAACTCCCCTTGGCTACCAAGTTTTAATTAGGCATGAACCAGATGTATACAGGTACAGTGTTGTATTTTTTCTTTTTTTTAAATCTCATAAGCATTTTCCATGTTAGTATCATAGCACATACTCTTCACAAGCACTGTTACCAACGGCCCCTAAATAGTCCATGAAATGCGTCTATCATCATTTACCTAACCATTCCTCTCTTATTTCATGTTTTCCTATTATCTTCACTGAGCTAAATGTTATGAACATCTTTAGGTCACTAATACTTATTTCAAACTGCTCTCCTAAAAGCATGCACCAGTGACTGTACTCTTGGAGGTTTTTTTCTGAATAGTCTGCTCTGTGCTCCAAATGAAAACTTAACATGCCAGAAGCTCTCTCCTTATTCAGCTCTACAGCCCTTCAATCCTGCTCCAGAAACTTCAGGAAGGAAACAGGTAAATATGTGCTCTACGTCAGGCTCCGTACTACATCTCACTTAATCCTTAGAAGCCGAGGCTCAAGACTTCTGCAAACGTGAAGCTGCATTCATTCACCCAACAAGCACTGAGTGCCTTCGAAGTGGCAGGCATTGGTCACACAGTAGTAAACAAAACAGAACTCCCTGAGGAGTGCTTAGCCTCCTCAAAGACGCTCCCAACCATTAAAAAAAAAAAAGGGGGGGCCCCTCCATTTCCGGACTACTTCAATAATAAAACCCTCTAATGGCTTTCATCATGCTTTATATAAAATCCAAATTCCTTTCCACTGACCACCAAGACTCACCTCGGCAGGCTTTGTCTAGCTCTCCAACAGCAGCCTCTGTCACACTACCCTCACCCACTACGCCTCATCCACCACCTTCACATCCTGAACCCTTTCCACCTGAGGATTTTCTCACGTGCTGCTCCCTCTGAACTTTCCCCTCTGCTCATCAAAATGACTAGCCCCTTACCTGTTAGGTCTTAGCTTAAACGTTAGCTCCTCAGGGCCTTCCTAGGGCACTCCATCTAAAGTAGGTTTTCCAATATTATTCTCTCTCTCTCCCCCCTCAGTTCATTCCTTTCACAGTACTTATCATATAGCCTTGGTTTGTTTGCCATCAAATCTCCAAGGGCAATCACAGTACCAGTAGACAGAACACATGGCAGATAAACTGCATGCTAAATGAATTCACCAGGAATGAGATCTAACTTCCTTGAAATTTCTACCAATCGATCCCAATTTTACCCTCTGTAACGACGAAAAAAGAAGTATGCATGTGTACCCTTCTTTAATAAAATTAATTTTAAATAAATTTTAATACAATTTTTCTTTTGTTAACTCTGACACTCACCTGTTTTTAGCAACTGCTACTGTTGCTGACTTCAGCGATAGTCTCAAGGAGCAGTAAATGGAAT